TGGGGAAGAAGACGGGGCCATTTTCTGTTCAATAAAGCTTCTGCAACGAATCCTGTTTGTCTGAGTCTTCTTCGGCTGCTGGCGGCGAAGTTGCACTCGGCAGAGGGACAGCGCAGGAGGGGAAGACCCTCTATGAGATGGATTGATTCGGTGACTGCGGTAATCGGGATGGGTGTGTCAGAGGCGGTGCGGTTGGCGCTCGATAGAGCAGGGTTTAGGGCTGTTGTGCATAGGGTCGCTATGAGCCAGAAACGACTCGACGGCACATAACAACAACAACAACATGATATTAATTTACATATTCTGTTGGATCACATTTCTTGGGAATGGGAACAAATATGAATCTCTTCCAGTCAGAAGGCATATAGTAGACAAAATAAGAATAGAGAGTGATTCTGGAGGGACTACCAAAGAGAAAACAGCAGCCTGAAAGCAATCTTAATCAACTCTTAGCCATTTTTAATACCAAAACCTAACTGTAGTGTCTTCGACCCAAGTTAAACCCCTATCTTGGGCCTTGGACAGATGGTTTAGGTTTGACTCCACCAAACTTCAGTTGCTAATAGTCATCCTTTTTCTCCTGTCCTCATCCTGGTCTTCTTTGCTTCTATTAAGTGTACCACTCAAATGGTCATGGAACCCTATGGCCTGTCCTCAGAGTTATTGCTCTAAAATGAATTTCTGCCAAAGCAAGACAAGAGGTTAGGATCCAGCAGCATGTTCTTAGGAGAAAGATGAGAAGTTTCCATCCATACACTTCACTGCCTCTGAAAACCTGCTGAGGGTCACCTATGAGGTGGTTCTGACATGAAAGCTTATAATAACAACAACACCACTGTGGACAATAATTTTGGCCTTCGTGATGATGTCATGAAATCAAGGAATGCTTTGGGCTACCTGAAACTGAGAAACAAGAAAGCATCGTCACGCAGACACTTTAAAGAAAACAAGGCTTTGTCAACATCTTGAATTAAAGCTTCTACCTTCTAAGTGTAGGGAGCTCTGGTGGCCTAGTGATAAGAAAATATGCTGCAATCCTAAAGGCACGGGGTCTGAATCTGGCAGCTGCTCCACTTGAAGGCACACAACAACAAAAATCTTCCAAGAATAGGGAGCTCTGGTGGCTTAGTGGTAAGGAATTGTGTTAGCAATCAAAACATATGCAGTTCAAATACACTAACTGCTCAGCTCAAAAAAGCTCCCCCCGGCCTCCTATGCCTCTGAAAACCCACCGGAAGGTGAGCTATGAGTCAGTTCTGACTTGATGGTAGGTACTTGACACAACCACCTTCCAAAAAAGAAAGAATTCATTTTTGCTATTTTTAGCAAAATGTGGTGTTTTGTTAGGACATCTATAGAAAACAAATCCACTAAACATTTGATGTACTTTGAAGAAAGTCCATTTTTAGCTGGAAAAGACAAAGTCAATGTGCATATAGAATAAAAGAACTGAGGAGAGAAAGAGCGTGAGAAAGCCCTGATAACATATAAACCAGGATTTAGCGACCTTGGGAGCAAATTTAACTCTTACTCTTTCTTCATTCTGGTCACACGAGTCAGTCAGTTTCTCTTTTTGCCTAAGAAAGCTTGATAAAGTTTGATCATATTGTTCACAACCAAGGGTCTTGAGTTGAAGTTATAGGAAATATGTTCCCAGTCAGCACACTAGCAAACTGAAAATGATTTAAAAATATTAGCAAGACAATAACATCTAGAAAAGGTTACCCTAGAGAAGTCTAATACTGTCTAGCTTGTCTACCTGTTGTGGGTCAGACTCAACAAAGTACGTAGTGATGGTCTCCATGGGTACGATGCCATAGAGCCAGCCGATGCCCGAGATGACAATATGCAGGATGTGCTCCCGGCTGTGCACATAGTGATAGGCAGTGCTAAAGGCACTGGCAACACCCTGCACAGAGAGATGATAAGAAGTTGCTTTTCTCTTAAAAAATAATAGCATAACTAGGAATATATATATAAATGGAATTCTTTTTCTTTTGTTGTAAAAATATAAAAAACACAACATATGCCAGCTGAATATTTTTTGTGTTTGTACAGTTCAGTGTGACCAATCACTTCCATCATGTCGTGCAATCATCACTATTATCTGGCAAAATCCCAGATATAGAAACTCGCTGTTCCCACACAGTGACTTCCCCTTTTCTTCCTTGTTTCCACTCTTGATCATCACCATTCACCTCTGGTCTCCACAAATTTTTCTACTGTAGGTATTTCTTATTAGTAAGACTATATACTATCTTGTCCTTTTGTGACTGACTTGTGGCATTCAGCATAGCATTTTCAGGTCCATCCATGTTGTATTATTATCAGGAGTTAATTTCTTACGGTAAAGTAATAATATTCCATTGTTTGTATATACATTACATTTTCTTATCTATTCATGTGATGATGGACATTTGGCTTTTTCCATCTTTTGGTTATTGGTAAAAATACTGACATGAAAATTGATGTCCACTTTCCTCAAGAATTAGGAAGAAAAAATAAAAAAAATAAAGACTGATTGAGAGACGGGGAGCAAGTGATAAGCTCACAGAAAGTTCATGATTTGCTACTATACCCACAATTCACTGCCTCCATAATGACTCTCAATCTTCTGCCTTTACAATTTTTATTCATTAAAAAAATTTAAAATGTCTATAGAAATGTCCCAATTATTTCATAACTTTTAAAGGCTTGATAATTTTGTGGACTAATTTGAAATTTGGGTACCCAAGAAACATTTAGGTTTTTTTCCTTAATTCTTTGTCTTAAAAATTATAGTACTGAAATCAGGTACTATGGGGATATATATCATATTTAGTCACATTTGTAGAAATCACACAATATTTGTAGGTGCTACTATCCAAAAAGGATGTCCCTTCTAAAAGTACGTCATTCTTTTTTATCTTAATTGTCTAACAGTTAACTGACTTTCTGTTCTGCAGCATAAAGTACTTTCCCCATGGCTGATATTGTTGTTGCTGTGTACCATTGAATCAGAACCAACTCATAGCTGACCCTCCAGCAGGTTTTCAGAGGCAGTAAATTGCAAGGGAGGCAACTGCCTATCTTTCTCCCGTGGAGTAGCTGGTAATGGTTACTTATGGTGGACAGTGTTTGGTGGAGCTCCCAGATGAAAACAAGCTTGGAAGCAGGAGTGGCATCCACTTCCGTAATAGCTTGCTTCCAGAAACCCTATGAACCTGGAGAAAGGATGAAGTCATGCAAGTGCTGAGGACTTTTGTTTATAGGGTTGCTATGACTCATCTATGACTCAACAACACTTAACAACAAAAACAGCAACAACAACAACATTGGTAGTGCTCTTACTTACTGGACAATGTTAACAATTTTTCTAGAGAAACATGCAACTGAGGCTTAGAATCCTCCTCTCTTAGAGTAATGGAGGATCTCTCCCAAGATATACATACATACATACAGGGCATAGGAACAAGTAGGATGGCACTGTCTATATAGATAAATTTCCTCTTACTTGGTTTCAGATTAAAAATTTTTTAAAAGTATGGAAGGAAAACTTTCTTAAGTATTGCTCTTGGAAAATTTTTCTATGACTTACTTGGTAGAATTGTATCTCATGAGGTAAGAAGACATTTATTTCCTGAGGATCTCTCAGAGTGTCAACAGCTATGACCCCAAAGATCCTCATAGATGCATCCTGAAGAGGCAGAGCCAGGAATGACCCATTATACTTTTGCTTATGGCGGGAATGGTTCCACAAGTGGATGTTATCATGATGCTGAACTTGGGGGACATGGATTGGCTTCCCCTCATCCACTACTGTGAAGCTGAGGAACAGGAATTTCAGGACAGGGGAAATACAGAATGGGAGGCTTTAGATTAAATTATGCCGAAAACTAGGTCAATCTTTAATTCACAATTATTAACATTACATATTAGAGAAATTATCTCGGATAAAACTACCGATTTAGAGACTCAGGAGAAGGACTTAGCAACCAAGCTCAGATCTTAACAGAGAAGACATAATTTACATAGTGTTGTAGTGTATCGTCGAGTCAGAACTAACCTGTAGCTGACTCTGCAGCGAGTTTTCAGAAACAGTAAATTGGTTGAGAGGAGGCTGTCCATCTGGAGCTGCAGGCAGATTAGAACAGCATACCTTTGGGCTGGCAGTGCAATTTCTTACTCCTAAACCACCAGAGTTTGGAAGTTGGAGTGATATCCTCTTCCTAAACCATATGCCTCAGGAAGCACTATGAACTTTGATAAATGTCGATTAGTTGTAATAGGGGCTTCAGGCCTTTTGTTCATAGGGTCGCTATGAATTTTGCTCCACTTGAAGGCACTCAACAACAACAACAACAAGAAGCCACCAGACCTGCCTTGTTTACATAGTAGGCAGACATAATTGAACAGATATTTGAAACAGAGTCCCTAAATGGCAAAACCATTACCTAAGAAAAAAACTCTAGAAATAATCAAAGTAAATAATCTGGAATTGTAGAGGCCTCCTACTCTAAGAAACACTGGTGGCTCGAGCCATTATCTCTTGAGCAGATAATTTATGATTTCAATGTTAGTTTACTTCAGAAAGGCAATTATTACTTAGTGGGGAGCAAACTGGCTTTCTAAGAAAGCTCTTACCTAACTCCTTTCATGTCCCTGTAGAGCACTCTGTTTAGCACACAGGGTGCATCGTCTATGGTACAAGCCACGTTCCTCAACAGAACTTTCCCTCTGTCCGGCAGTAGTTCATTTTCTTCTAAGAGAGAAATGTGAGCACTGATCCTCTTATTCCCATGGGCTTCAGCATCCTATGGCAAAATGTTTCTGATCATGTATTTGCTATTAGCCAAAGAACTCCGCCCTTGATAATGTCTCTCTTCCACTAACCATTTTGTTCATCTGGTTCTAGTAACTTCATTTTCCTGAATCAATGACACCAATGTTATCATTCATGGACAGTTAAGTAAAAGGCTGATGTCACGAATGTCCTCACACATTCTGAATGAAATGGATTTGCTCCATGCTTATTAGACAGGTTTTGGGGAAATTATCATTATGCTTGGGAAAGTAGGGGGTCAGTGAAAAAGAAGAAGACCTTCAATGAAATGGATTGACTTAGTGACTTTAACAACAGGTGTAAGCATGGCAAAGAATTAAGGATGGCGCAGGACCGATTAGGGTTTTGTTGTGCTGTATACATGGTTGCAACAAGTTGGAGCCAACTCCATGGCACCTAAGAATAACAAATATAAAATCCATCTAATTCTAGTGACTTAAATTTTAAAATTTACATCATTTGAATCAATATCTGAACTGCCTTTAAAAGTATTTCTTTTAGTGAGCTTGGGCAAGAAGGTATTTTTCTTCACCATATATTTGAATGTGAATATGCAAAAAGATTATTTTAAGAAGCTATGAAATCTAATCTATTTAATATCAGGATAAAGTTTCTTGAGATTTCCAGATTGCAGACTTTATGGAACTACTTCTTAAATAACTGGAAATTCTCTGCAACCAAAATATCGTTGTGTTGCTGTTGTTGCTGTGTATTGTCAAGTTGGAACCAGCAGGTTTTCAGAGGCAGTTAATTGCACAGGAGGAAACTGCCCATCCTTCTTCCGTGGAGCAGCTGGTGGATTTGAACTGTGCACCTCTGGTTTTTGCAGGGCAACTTCTTGCCACTAGGCCACCAGAGATATTATAATGTTAATGCACATACTGAGTATGTCCATAAATTGGGGATATAAGAGACCCTTTCCTTGATATTTGTCTCCTGTTTTTAGATGTTTTTTAGGTTTGCTTTTCAAGTTTTCATGTCTTATATATTCTGCCTTTACTCTTCTTGTTCCATATAAAAGGCTTATGGAGTTTTAAACAAAATATATTAAGATTTCTGAATCAAGTTGGATCAACACTTCTTTTTCTGGACACGCCATTCCTAAACACATCAGAAATGTATTCGTTTGAGAGATGATTCAACAAGCAAGTTAGATTATTAAGCTGAAAAAATGACACAGACTCACTGAATCACTGGAATCTATTTTATGTATAGAATACAGTCATTCTAATTTTGGCTGAAAGGCGCAGTAACCTGGGTGTCTCTGAGGGAGTAACAAGACTGTGGGAGTTGGTCAAACAAAGCCATGTACTTCATGTGACAAGATTCAATGATAGTCTCGGTTTCCTTCTATGCAACATTATGAAATACGGTGTGATGTTGGATTCTACTTTGAAATGGCTTTAGATGTAAACAGTTATTTTTCTGACTCTGCAAATACCAGGCAAGATGAATAGAGTTTTAACTGCTTCTACATCTCTTTAGAAATGTTTTCTTAAAAAAAAAAAGAAAAAGAAATGTTTTCTTCTAGTAAAGTCTGTATCCAGGTTTTATTTAACTCTTGTTGTTAGGTGCCGTTGAGATGACCATGAATTAGAACAGCAGACCGGAACCCTTGTCTATCTTGCACCATTCTCACCATCCCTGCTATCCTTAGCCTATTGCTCCAGTCATTGTGTCAATCTATCTTGTTGAGAGTCTTCCTCTCTTCGACTTATCCCCCACACTTCCAAGCATGATGTCCCTCTCCAGACACTGGCCTCTCCTAGCAACATGCCCAAAGTATGTGAGACGGTGTTTCCTTATCCTTTCCTCTAAGGAATACCCTGTCTATGCCCTCTCTTAGACATATTTGTTCTTTTAGCACTCTATGGGATAAAATTCAGTATTCTTCTCTAAAACCACAACTCAAAGGTATTGATTTTTCTTCTGTCATCCTTAGTCAATGTCCAGCTTTCAGATGCATAAGAAGCAACTAAAATGACCATGGCTTAAATCAGGTGCACCTTAGTCCTCAGACTGACATCGCTGCTCTTCAGTACCTTGAAGAGGTTCCTGACTGCAGACTCCCTCAATGTAATGCATTTTTTATTTCTTGACTGCTGTAGTCAAGGGCATTGACTGTGGAGCCTAACAAGATGAAATCACTGAACCACTTCAGTCTTGTCTCCATCTATCATGATGTCGCCTACTGGCCTGGTGGTGAGGACTTTTGTTTTCTTGATGTTGAGATGTAATTTGACTTTGAGCACAGATGAAATTAGAAGTCCTAAAACATAGTTCTATTTTTTTTCTCTCCCTCTCCTCTTTCTTGGGTTTTCAGAACCAAAATTGTAATATATTGGAATGAAGGGAATATTTAGCAATTCTAAAGGGAAAAAAAATAGATGCATTATATCTTTTTAAGTCTCACTGCACTGTGTCTCACATACTTAGGGCATGTAATCAGAAGAGCCTAAAGAACATCAGGGTGGGTAGAGGATCAGAGGAACAGGGGAAGACCCTCAGTGAGATGGATCAGGATAGTAGCTACTGCAATCGGCTGAAGCACAGAAGACGTTATGAACATGGAGCGAGATGGGGCAATGTTTTGTTAAGTTGGAACCAATTTGACTGCACCTCTTCAAGTACTGAAAATATTATGTGCTTTGAGGAAAAATTTCCTTTCAGAGAGCATTTTAGAAATCCTACCTGATTGAGGGCCTTGAAGGTTTCTGTGTAGACGGGCTCCACAGACACCCCACTGGTCTCTGCAGCACGTTGGATTTGCTGCAGCCACTTTCGCCTGACAGAGTTTCTCAGATTCTCAACATGGCTCTGCTCCAGCGAGTTCATCAGGAACTCCACAACACTTTCCAGAACCTCGTCTTCATCGCCTCTCAGTTCAGATACAATCAATTCTATATATTTCTGAAACTGTTTTGAAGATAATTTCACTTCATGACCAGGCTGTGGCTTTGGAAATTGGATGTGTAGTTTAGCTAAAAGACATAAACACAAAACCAAGAACTAAGAAAAAGTTCATTTATATATGGAGCTACTATTATTCTTCCTTTGCAGTGAACAGCAGCTCCTGACAACTGCTCCTGTGGAAAAACAGGTATGATACCAAAGCATCTTTGATCCCAAAGGAACATTTGACAGTGATGCCCCATGCTGAACTCAAGATGACTCCTCCTTGGAGGCAAGGATGGCGAAGCTTCATCTCACACACATTGGTATGTTGTTAGGAGAGGCTATCCCTTGTAAAAGCATATCATGTGGCGAGCTCTGGTGGCCTAGTGGCAAGGTGTACTGCAATCCCAGAGGTGTATGGTTCAAAGCCACCAGATTCTCTGCTGGAGAAGGATCTCTCCTGTACCAGTCAGATCTGATTTGACGGTACACACACACACACACACACACACACACACATAAAATTTTTTTACAAAAGCACATCATGCTGGGCGAAAGCGAGGGAGATCCTCAGTGAGATGGATTCAGTACAGTGGCTGTGACCATGGGCTCATGTGTTCGGGGATGATAAGGATGGAGCAGGACGGGACAGGGTTCAGATCTGTTGTTCACAGGGTTACATTGCTATCTGCAACTTGATGGCACACGATAACAACAATAACTGACCCATGTGAAATTCCAAGGTCAACTTTATCTCTTAAATACTGTTTTTGCTTTCCATATCCATTATGTCACTATATCTTGTTATTCTTTAGCAGTGAATCTTGTGGCCTTCCTCTCCAATTCTGACCCCATTCTGATTCCATCACCTCAAACCAGCTTTAAGCACCTTAAAATTGGATTGTTGTTGTTGTTATGTGCCATTGAGACATCTGCGACCCATAACAACCCTATGTACAGCAGCTCTAAATCCTGCTCTGTCCTGAGCCAGGCTCACTAATTCTGACACACTTAACCCCATTGCCCCTTTCACTATATCAATCCATCTCATCTGAGGTCTTCCTCTCCTGCTCCATCCCTCCACCCTTCTGAACATGATGTCCTTCTCCAAAGACGGGTCCCTCCTGGCCGCATGTCCAAAATATGTGAGGTAGAGCTTCAAAATCCAAACCTCCAAGGAGAAACTTGGTTTCACTCTCTCCAAGACAGACTGATTTGTTTTCTTGGCAGTTCATGTTACATTCAAGACTCTTCTCCAGCACCACAATTCAAAGGCATTGATTTTTCTTCTGTCATCCTTAGTTATTTTCCATCTCTCTGAAGCATAATACTCAATATATGTAAAATGAAATTAAAGCACTGTGAAGTAAAGATTTAAAGCCCTGGTGTGTCCACTTGCCATACAGCGGTAACTTGTGGTTGCTGTGAGGTTGAACACTGTGACACTGATGTGTCAGATGCGTTAATGGTTGGTTACCCAATGCGGACAGTGTTTGGTGGAGCTCCCTGATTAAAACAAGCTTGGAAGCAGCAGTGGCATCCATTTCTGTAATAGCTTGCCTCCGGAAACCCTATGAACCTGGAGCGAGGATGAAAGACCCCAAGCATTGAGGACTCTCCTTCATAGGGTCACTATGAGTCGCCTGCGACTCGACAGCATTTAACAACAACAACAACAACAACAAAGTAATTTAGTCTTTGTCTTTGGTTCCTGAGAGAGAGAGAGTTCTAAACTTTTGGAATTTCCTCAGTAATTGAAGTGTCTTTGCTAACTTAGGTTCTTTAGAACAGATTTAACAGGTTATGTCGGTGAACTAGCTGGCCAGGCCAGAAAAATCCACTTGATGACATCACCTTATGATTATATGGCAAAAATCTTCAATAACAGCTCAAGGGACCTCTTTGTTGGTGAAAGACACTGATCCTTTTGGGGATAGGAGTGAAGGTGGGTTATGCATCCTTTTGGGGTCACGCCCAGACCTCGACTTATGCATCTCTTCATCTGTATCTATTTTCCTATATAATAAAAGTGTCACAATAATTATGCCACTTTCTATGAGTCCTGTGTTCTGTGAGTCTTTCTAGAATCTTATCAAGCCCAAAGGTTAGTGGGAGCCAGCAGCTCAGAAGTAAGGGAGCCTGGAGGATTCCTGAACTTGGGGCTGGGATCTTGAAGGGATAATGAGGAAATTTCAAACTTTTAGCCAACAAGTAAGTAACATAATTACATTGAGGTACACAGAATTTTCAGTTATTTTAATAAGAAAGGGTTACATATGATCTGCAGTCAGGAATCCCAAGAAATCCTTTTCTTACATGACACAGATTGGATTGCATTGCCAAACTATACGAAGTTCTCTGCTAAGAACTCCTTGTGACCATTTCCCCTCTTGTGCATATCATACTTCCTGAAGATAAAATGTGCAGGTGGGCAGTGTGGAAAACTTAGGACTCCTCTGGAATAAACTCTCGGTGGCCAAATTTGGGACAATTTGAGCAGAAACAATGATGATGATAATAACTACAGGTCATTGAATAAAATAGGAAACTGAGTCCATACTGATAACAAAGAAATGAAAAGTTTTACATGGGGGGGGGCGCTCTGGTGGCCTTGTGGCAAAGAAGCTGCACTGTAATCCCTAAATTGTGCAGTTCTAATCCACCAGATGCTCAGCTGGAGAAGGAGGGGCAATCTTCCCCTGTACCAGTCGCATCCAATTCGTTGGTACACAAGGAAAAAAAAACCCAAAAACCAAATCCACCCACAACTATTTTAAAAAAAAGTTTCACATGGAAGCAAACATTCCTATGGCTTCAAAGGCTGGTGGGTGTCAATTGAGTTGACTCTAACTCATAGCCACCATATGTACAACCAATAGAAACCCTCTCAGATCTCCTACCAACCTCACAATCTTGGCTGTACTTAAGCCCATTGTTCCAGTCACAGCATCTATCCATTTTGTTGATTGTCTCCCTCTCCTCTAGCCCTCCACCTTCCAAGCATGATGCCTCTTGCGAAGGTCTAGACCTTCTTGATCACATGTCCAATGTACAGGAGACAAAGTTTCACAATCACTGCTTCAAAGAACAGTCAAGATGCACCTCTTCCAAAAAAAGAACTGTTCACTCTTCTGGTGGTTCATGGTATAGTCAAGATTCTTCAACACCACCAAGATTCAAAGGCATTAATTCCTCTTCAGTCCTTATTCATTCAACTTTTCCAACTTTTGAGTGTTTTTGGTTTCAAAGTATATCCCTCAAAATACCTATTGATAACAAGAGGGGATAGAGTAACTTTAAAGTGGAAGGACCTGACAGATACCTTAACCAGGTAGTCAAAGTTAACAACCCCATGGAACTTCTGATAGGTTCAATGAGAAAACGGCATCACTTCTATTTTACTATCTATCAAAGATGCATAACCTGAATTTAATCATGAGGAAACAAACGAACAGAAATTAAGGCTATACTACCAAAGCCCCCCTAGCCCATTATACTAAAAAAGATCACTTAATAAAGACTGCCATGAAAATCAAAGGAGATAGGAATTCCTTGGAGATTCTGCATTGCAGAATGAAACAACAGTGGTCATTTCACATTAGCTATCTGTCCACTTTTCATTTCTTTTAAAAAGCATTTTGTAGTTTTCCACAGAAACTTTTTTAAATGTGTCCCTTGTAGTTCAAGATTTCCAGAATTTCATCATCTAACGCATTAACAAAACGTTATTCTTTTAGGAGAGTTAGATGTCCTACTCAAATGTTGTTGTGCTCCATCGAGTCAGAACTGACTCATAACTGATTCTCCAGGGTGTTTTCAGAGGCTCAAAATTGCCTGTCCACCTCTTGCCCATGGAACAGCTGGAGTATGCGAAATGCATGATTTTGGCTTGGCAGCGCAACTCATTATCAATAACCTGCCAGAGCTCTTGCCTTCTTTAATAGAAATGCCAACCAAACCTTGCCACTTATTTAAAAAAAAAATAGAGTTTAGTTAACAAGTTAATAGCTATTCTATAGAAAGTTGTGGAGGAAGAGAGATCTGCTTCATTACATTTTACATTGTAAAGTAGGTCACATGTTCTATAGCTTCTTATTTGTGGTATTTCTGATAAAAATTGGGTTGTATTAGAAATAAAAAGCAGGAGGAGGAGGAGGAGGTCTAAATTTCTCCTTCATACAGAAAACTGCTATTTTCAGTCTATCAGTAAATGTTATATAAGTTTGTAAACATGTGACTTCATGGTATTTAATCTCTGCTTCTTTACTCTTGGATATAGAAAGAGATGATAAAAAGGATAGAGCAAAAATAGTATAAATACTCCCCCCCCCCCAGTACAGAGCTGTTTGCAGATTTGCTGATCAGCTGTTATCTAACAGTTGGATTTAGATACTTTTTCCCCTTTGAAAGAGCCTAATCTGCTTTCCTTATTCTGCACTGCCATCAGCTCAGCAGTCATCTCTTCAGGCCAGGTGGCTACCAGTATGTGTTCAGAGGATCATTTTGTATAAGCCTGCCCTTGGAGAGAATCATTTGTTCTTCCTGCTTGCAGACATTTTCCTCTGGCAGCAGATTTTGCCTCATCATTGCTACCCTCATTCATATTTGTTCAACTTAACCCTTTCTATTTTTAAGCTTTCTGCTTATCCCTGCTGCTAGATCTTAATCACATACATTGGAACTTCTTTGTAACATAATCGTCAAGTTCTTTAAAATCCCAGAGTTCATCATTCCTACCTCCTTCACTTTAGTGTTCACAGGGTTTTCAAAGAAAACAAATAGACATGTTTTGGAGACAATGCAGCTGGAGCGCTCTTTGGAGGCAAGAATGATGAGGCTTCAAAAAAAAATGTAAATGGCAAAAAAAAAAGAATGATGAGGCTTCATTTCACATACTTTGGACATATCGCTAGGAGGTGTTACTCCTTGGAGAAAGACGTGATGTTGGGAAGGGTAGAGGGTCAGTGAAGGAGAAGACCCTCAGCAAAGTGGATTGACTAACTGCTGCAATGGGCTCTTGTGTGTCAGGAAATGTGAGGATGGCGCAGGACAGGACTAGGTTCAGATCTTTTGTTCATAGGGTCGC